CACTGCTGCTCTCGGGCCGGGGTAGCTGTCACCCCCGCCGCCTGACGCAGTCCCCGCTGCCCATACACAGCAAGGCCTGGAGCCCCGGCCGGCGCCCACCGCGCCCACCACGCCCTTCCACGGGACCCCAGCGACCTCGGGGCAGTGGTGACATCAGAAGCCCGATAGCAAGGCTCACAGGAAACCGCTCGAAGAGATCGCACACTAGCAGATGTGTGTGAAATACTGGTTTTTAATTGGTTGGCACAAGATTACAACCTCTAACTCCACGCGGAAGGAACCGGCTGATCACACAGAGGGCTCGGCGCTCGCGGCTGAAGCATCGTTTACAGAGGCAGGGTGCGGAGCGAGAGCTCTGGCGGACACCAGCTCTCCCCGAACCACAGGGGAGGCCGCACCCATGGGAAGGTGCGAAGGCGGCGAGGTCTCTGCCTTGGACAAGGGAAAGCGGAAAACACGGTTTCCTTCCGCCTTCTCCGGGCCAGACTCCAGCGCTGGCAGTGACCGGAAGGAGCACTGTCCAGACGCAGGCGAGAGGCGCGCCTGGGCAGAAAGGGAAGCTTGACTTTCCATGCAGGGCCAAGCCAGACAACAGAGCAGAGCAGAAAATAAAGGGAAGACAGTTCGTGCACCCACAGGCCAGTGACCCCTGACCCTGCAGCGCAGACGTCGGGGTCCCCCCTCCCGCGTCAGTGCCACTGCTTGGGGCCCCGTCCCCCTCTTCCGCCTGCCGGCCGCCCCACCGCAGCTCCGTCCCAATGCCACAGGGAGGACCTGGCCGCGGGCGACCCGGCCAAGCTGCCCGCGCACCCCGGCTCCTGGGGAGGCTCCAGCACAGGCTCCCGCTCACTCGGGGTGAGGACAGCTCCACACAGGCCGGGACAGAAGGGTGCCGGGCAGGCCCTGAAATAAAGGCTCTATCGGCTGCTGGGCCGCTGCTGCAGGCTCCCTTCCCACCTTCACATCCGACTGCGACAACACCGCCAAACCCTTACCCACCAGTCCTCACCAGAGCCAGTCCGGGACCTGGGAACAGACGCCCCGTAGACGCTGGGACACGGCCTGACCAGGACGGCTGCCCGCCCCTCCAGCCACACCTCTGCCTCTGCTCAAACGCAGTCAAGAGCCCCCGAGGCGCTCGGAGGCTAAGCCAAGCCCTGGCGGCAGGTGGACTTTCCCAGGGCCTCGGGTCCCCTCTGCACTGGGTCCTCAGAACCAGTCCGGACCTCCCCAGCGCAGGCCATCTACAGGTAACTCTTTCTCCAGAACAGGGTAGCAGAGGCCAGGGCCCAACCCCGGAAAGCTTGCTCTCCCAGGGACAGAGGCAGGGTCTGGCAGGCAGGGGAGTGAGGGGGAGAAGGGTACACGGTGACAAACCCGCTGGGACGACAGTGCCGCGGATAAGCCAGGTAAGTCTTAGGGTTCCAAACTGGGAATGTAAACCAGAGAAAACCTGGAGTGATTAAACAACTGGCCTCTAGACAGAAGGGCGGCTCTCTCCACCTTCACCAGCACCCTCTGCGGCCTGCTTTGTCCTTAGTCCCTGGGGTTTTCCCCAGACCGCTCCCCAAGGAAACAGCTTCACTTTCTGGACAAACTCCAGTTCACCAAATCACTGTAAATAAAGCCTGAGACCTGATTCTTGCTTCAAAAACTGTGTCAGGGGACGGCCAGAATTGTGACTACAGGCCTCAGCGTGCCAAATGAACACCAAACACATTCTTTTTATCTAGTAATTGTGTTTTTGTACTGGGGATCAAACTCAGGACCTTGCACTAACCCCAGCCTTAATTTTTTTTTTTTTTTTTTAAGAAACTGAATCTGGATACATAGTTCAGGCTGGCCTCCAACTAACTCACAGTGATCCTCCTGCCTCAGCCTCCTGAGTGCTGGAGTGACAGGTGTGTGCCACCACATCTGGCTTTATTTATAATTTCTAAGGGAACTAGGACTACCTTGAGTGAATGGTGCCATTTTTCCAGATGGCCAGTGAGGCTTCTCACATCACTGCAAGTTATCAGGTAACCACAAGCTTTGGGAGCCAGTGTAAAAGCAGGCCAGGGGCGCAGCTGCCCCAACACAGCACGAGTCGCGCTGCTGACCTCTAAGGGGGGTGCACTGCGGCCGTCGGCTCCGTCCACGCCACCTGTGGACCGCAGCTATCTCTTAGGGCCTGCAGTCAACGCTCCCCCGTTTAGGATTTCTACCTCAGAATCTCCAATGTCTCACAGCTGTAGGCAATACCTCAGGGGTCGTGGGAAACACGGCCCTCTTCGGTGGCGCAGTGACGGAGGCAGCACCATCACCGATGCCAACTCATATTTCTTCTACAGCAAGAAAGCACTGGCCCTGAGGTGATTTTCCCCAATTCTAAACCCGATCTCAACTGGACAGGCTGGAGTGCACCTCAGAGACATTACAGCCGTCCAGCTGTGGCAAAATCACAGTGCTTAACAAGTTCCTGCTGCGAGTTCAGGTTTCCGGCTCCATCGGAGCGTGGGTGCGGCAGAGGGCGAGTGCGGGGCCGAGTGCCAGGTGGCTGAGGGGCTTCCAACGGGAGACTGGGAAAGAAGGGCAATGTCTGCACCCCGCAAGAGTGACCTTTCCTTCTAAGGGAGCCTGAGGGACTTCACACAGGCTGACTTTTAACATCAAACGGAAAATGTTTCTTGGCCGTGAAGGAAGCTGTCCGTGTAACAACGCATTTACAGAAGTCCTGCAAACACTCAGGGCAGTGACCTCCTGGCTCCCTCACCCCCGGAGTGGCCCTCAGTCCCCAGGGCTTCACAGGGAGAAGGGCAGGGGGCACAAGCCCTGCAGTGCTGCCACCCCGGGGCCTCGCCCTGCAGGTCAGATGGGCGCTGGACACTGGAAAACAAGAGGCAGTGGACTACCTGTTCTGGCGCTCATGCCAGCTACGGGATCTATGTGGTCGGCCCCCAGCGGCCCACGCTCACAACTCGGTCATAGCCCAACGGATCATGTGACCTCAATGGCATTTCCTCAGCAGCTGTAATTTATAAACTAGGAAGAAACAAAGAAAAAGAAAAAAAAACTGGGCCGAGGATGTAGCTCAGCGGCACCTTGCTGGCCTGGCAGCCGCAAGGTCTAAAGTTCGATTCCCGGGGTGCCTCGGGGGCTCCATCCTGAGTCTGCAGGACCCTGTGGGCCGCTCAGGAACTCGGATCCAGGACAGGCAGGCTGACTGGGAGCCAGAGCCGAAGCCCGGTCCTGACACACCGAGTGCTCCCACCCGGCCCGAGGAGCCATTCACACGGGCGGTTTCCGCACTGTTTGCTTTCCCAAAGATAAACATTGTTGAAAGCATAGGTCCAGGTCCGACCAACCCATCACAAAAGGACTCCAAGCACACAACAGGAGGATGGCCGTGGTGCTGAAGGGGCCTGAGAGGGAAAGCCCGAGCCTGCTCACCAGAACCGGAGCCTGCAGCGGGCAGCAGCTCCCACTTCCGGTCGAGGCCCAGTCCCCGTGTCAGCGCGGCGGCCCCGGCTGACCCCACCCGGCCCACTCACTTCGCAGCACAGCCACGCTCTCCGCCCAGAGGCTGCTGACCGCCACAGGCGGACTCTGGGTAGTGCGTCCTCGCACCAGCCCTGATCAGAGGCTGAGCCGCGTATCCCTTTCCCTACCGCCTTCTCCTGCGAATTACGTTCAAGCCGTGCAAGCTGTGCCGTGAAGGTGGAGCGATCTGGAAGTCGCACAGTTTAGATTTTACCCAGAGATTAAATTTACTTTCTTTCCTCCTGACCTCTTTGTTCTCTGCCTGAGCCCCATTGGGCCCCCGGGGCTCTCACGGGAAACTGCGGGCACTGCCTTCTGGCTCCAGGTTTAAGGTTGGAAGAAAGAACAAACCGAGAAGACGGAAAACTTCAACATTCACCAAGTGCTGTCCCGAAAAACACTTAACACTTAAGTGACACAGGGCTACCAGCTGTGTTTCTCCCCATGGGAGGGAAAAGCAAAGGTTCTTTAAAGTCTGAGTGTTTATTAGAATCTCTGATCAAAGAGTACTACGATTTTAACTTCACATCTTGGCCATGTCCGACGGGAGACGCTGCTGAAGGAGCAACAGCCTCCCGCCCGAAGCCAGGGACTGGTCAGTGCCACCCTCTCGGACCCGCCCCCCATGTCCAGACCCTTCCCACCCTCACTTCCCCGGGACCTGTATCACAACACCTGTGTGCAGACAGCAAGGCCCTGGCGGCCAGGGCGCGACGGCCAACGGTTGCGCGGCCTCCCCAGCACCGCACGGCCCAGCCCGTGCCTTCGTAGCCGGACG